TATATATATATATATATATATATATATATATATATATATATATATATATATATATATATATATATATATATATATATATATATATATATATATATATATATATATATATATATATATATATATATATATATATATATATATATATATATATATATATATATATATATATATATATATATATATATATATATATATATATATATATATATATATATATATATATATATATATATATATATATATATATATATATATATATATATATATATATATATATATATATATATATATATATATATATTTTTTTTTAATATATATATATATATATATATATATACATATATTTTTTTTTTCCCCAATTATCAAAGTAAATGGACTTATTTTTGTACAGTAAATCTCTGTTGTGCCAAATTACATAATTATGTGGGGAAAAGTTGTGCTTGTAGATCAATGACCATGAGAACACATTGTTTGTGAAGAACTGGCATATTTTTTTTTACAATTCTTTTACAATAAAGGAGCTCACAACAGTGGTGCTAACTAAATCCTTCACGTAAAACCATAAGATAAAAGTGACAATGGAGTTGCAGTGTGCCTTTCTTCAGGAAATAAGGGGAAAATAAGTCAAGCTATATGAAGAGTGGTTTTTATTCCAAAGTAATATTTTTTTAAAATGGAAACATCAATGAAACAACTCCAGGATACTACCTTTTTAACCATTTTATAAGATTTGGCATTTCCTTTTTTAGATAATTTTTGTCATATTTTTTATTGTTATTGTTACGTCCTTTTAGATGCTAATATTTAAACTAGGAGTAGATGACATAACATACAATAGTTTAATGTGTGTGACAAGCGGATGGAGAAAGAAATAAACTGAAAACCAAATATCACTGCAATTATTTATTGCCCATACATCCAATAAAACCAGTGAAAATATATTATACAGTGAAAGAACAATATTTACAATAATTAAATGATGAATTACCTGGGGGGGAGAGGAAGTAGTTGAATGTGCTTAAATCAAAGAAAGAAATATAACAAAACTCAGTAACTGTTTTCACCAAACTAAACTAAATATGAAAAGAAAAGCATGAAAAGAAACATCTTCAACGTACCAAACGTCTTAACTAAACTGCTCTAACTAAAAACAAAACATACAGAAAACAGCACATTCATATCAATCTGAGTGTTGTATATGTATATCGCGCGACTTACTCACTCCTACACCTCTCCGAGGCATCACTCAAACATGTCAGTTAACTGGACAATTTCACAAGCATTGTTAAATCGCAAACTTTAGACAAGAGCATTAAACAAGCAAAACACATTCTCTCAGACTAGCCCTCGCAAGAGAGACTGTGCTCATAGAGACCCATAGAAAGAATAAGAGCGAGAAGGAAAGAGACAGAGAGAGAGATCGCCATTGCAGTTTGGGCTCGGCTTTTAAACGATACGCCAACCAGCGATTGGTTGCACAAACCCAGCGTCAGCGGCCAACGTCATCAGCACGAAATGCGGATCCTCCAATCCCGTTCGTACCTGTAACACATGCATGAAACGACACACCCACATACAAACAAACAAACGCACACACTTGTACAAAATACGTTCTGCAAGCGAGCGTTACAGTTATGAATACTTTATTGTATTTTGAGTGGTAGGCTGATTGAAACACAGAGATTTAATTGTCAATTATTCTTATTTCTGTTGATTCTCCTCTTAAACACAGAAAAACCGCTGAAGCGACGGATGTCCATGTGACTCATTATCAAAAAGATGGCGTTTATTAAAGAGGAGAGTGAAGACGTGAAGATTGAAGAAACATTCACAGTCAAACATGAGGATCCTGAGGAGCAAACAGGTTGGTTTTGGGTCTTTTTGGTTCTCATTCAGATCTGCAGCTCTACACAAATGAAAGAGGATTTAGAAGAATGGTACATCCTGGTGGGGAATTTACCCATTCAAGATTGTTAAACTTTATGCTGCGTTCACACCAGAAGTGGAAAAAGCGTCAATTGTGAGTGATATACATGTTAAGTCAATGCAAAAACGTGAATAGACATCCTGCCGTGCGATACGGGCAAATGAGGCAGGGCGAATGACGCGATTCACGCTAATAAAGCGACGCAAGTTGAACATTTCAATTGAGTTGGAAAATCTGAACTTTATCGGACATTCGCACCACGTAAACCAATCAGGAGCTTGGTCTTGTAAGGGAGTGATTATGATGTAGCGCCTGTTGCTGGTGTCTCGAGGGCAATTTCTCCTGCCGACACTGTACAACAGTTAATCAAAGTGGGCTCAGTCAGAAGCACCGCTGAAAGCTCCATCATCCAGGTATAGTTTCTGGAGGAGTTGATGAACTCGCAAAGCTGGGTGCACCTCTGACAGAATCTAGACATGGTGTCAAACAATTCGACACTGTTTTTCAGCCTTCCTAAAGCACATAAACAGTCATTCTCTTAATAAAGTCCATGTTAGCCATATCACAACGAAGCTAATCCACGTCTATTGTGAAGTGAATTTGATGCGCGAATGTATCAGCTTGAGTATACTTAAAATGTTCACGTGTCTATTTACGCGCGAATAGCACGTCTGGTGTGAACACAGCATTACACCGCAGTCTATTCTTTTCCTATGTTTACATATAGACTAAAAGATATGGACGACATGCACATAGGTTTCTGAAGAGTGCACCTAAAGCTACAAGTAGCCAACCATCGCCATTTTGTTTGCGTGTCATCACATCGACCGTGGTTAACCAAACAAGGGTAAAGAGGCAGAGCATGAGCGGAGCTACAGACGCATGCTAGCATTTTGCTTGGCCAGGTTTTTCTTTGGGAGAAATGCTTAATACTTCATTACCTGCAACTCGTTTGTGTTTTGACCTCATGTGCGTGGTTGTACACTATATCAATAAAGTGTTTAGTCTTATAAAAATACTGCTGTAATACATTGAACCACTAAGCATTGCTCTTATGATGTTTTTCAACAGAAGGAAACCGTGAATTACATCTAAATACTTTGAATGTAGTCTGTGTTAGAAAACGCAAGGCCATTGATGAAGTCCAGGCATAACACTGTATGACGTTTCAGATGACTGTTCTATAGCCTGATGAGTTATAAAAATAAATTCACCCCCTCACAGTTGTCATCAAGGGTAATGTTAGCTATAGACACCAAAACCATCTTTTGTACCAGGCTGTAAACATGTTTTTTTTTAGCTGTAAATTTAGCCAATTTAGCATTGCAGTCAGTGAACGTCTGGAGATCCTGGAGCCAGCCCCCAAAGGCGAGTCGATGAATTGCAGTTTCAGTTACTTCCGTATTGGCTTAACGAAGGATAGCAGGTTGTTGCCGCTTAGGTTTACAGCGTGTCTTTCACACCCAATGCTGCTTAATATTTTAAAATCACTTTTCATTGATTTAAAGATTCCATCGCAAGATGCAGCGGTAACTCGATACTTGCACTTTGTGTGCATTTCTTTTTGATTCGACAAGTTCCTGCTCTAGAACATACTTACCAGCAACTTTTTTAGGTACACCTGTCCAACTCTGGTTAACGCACATTTCTGATCAGCCAATCACTTGGCAGCAACTCAATTCATTTAGGCTTGTAGACACGGTCAAGATAAATAGCAGCAGAAGACCACACCATCTTGTGATGGCTACTTCCCTATGATGGCTACTTTGTCATTAAAGCTCGAATCACCTCAGACTGGTTTCTTGAACATGACAATGAGTTCACTGCACTCAAATGGACTCCACAGTCATTGGAACGGGCGATTCGCATCATGGATGTGCAGCCAACAAATCTGCCGCAACTGCGTGATGCTATCATGTCAATATGGAGCAAAATCTCTGAGGAATAGTTCCAATACCTTGTTGAATCTGTGCCTTGAAGGATTAAGGAAGTTCTGAAGGCAAAAGCAGGTCCAACGCGGTACTAGTAACGTGTACTTAATAAAGTGGTCGGTGAGTGTAACCATATTTAAACATAACACCATATTTACCAGCTAAGTCCGAGTCAAAAGTAAAAGTACACACTGGTGGAAGACTTTTTTAAATGACTGCAGCCAAAATTTAGGCACTGTCATAACTTTAATCAACAATAAAAGACTACATTAAACTCAAATATTGAATTTAGAATCCATGACTGAGAGAATAATGTTTTTAAATATGTATTTCATGCTGATTTAGGGACTTTTTTGGTATGTAAGTGTTAGGGGATTTTTTTAATGTATATAACACACACACACACACACACAAAGCCTGAACTATTCAGTTCTTGTCATGGTTCAGTACGCATGTATCAATAAGTTCAAATTTATTTAATTTTTTTTATGATTTGGTATCAGACTGGAATGTGTGTATCTATTGAACTCTCCCTCTGTCAATCTCGTCCGCGCCTATTCAAACCCACATCTCGGCTGCTTGAAACTGTGTGCATGTCTTGCTCCCTATTTGTGTGCACAAGCCATGCATTTCTGTTTAAAGGGCACCTAGGTTACCCCTATTATCAGATTTAATATAAGTCTTTTGCGTCTCTAGAATGTGTTTATAAAGTTTCAGCTCAAAACACCCATCAGATTTTTCATTATACCTTTTACAAGATGCTGTTTTATACTGATTTCCAGCAGGGGGTGGTTTTGTCGTACTGCGCCTTTAAGACGAGTCTTTCCCGCCTACTGTTTCTACGTGCCTTCCCGCGTGCTTTAATCTCCTCCCTCGGCTGCGTCAAACAACAGACAGACTTAAAGGAAGAAGGTCTCACGTAGCGTTTGTGAGAAATACTACAGGAAGAACTAATCTTTACTAATCAGTATTGTGAAGTTGCATTGATGAGTCACACACAATATCGTTACAAAGTTCACGCACACACACACAGGCAGGCAGACAGACAGCGCGCTTAGCTTAGCACTGTTTTTGCACTCAAATGTGTCAGGATACAGGCTAACCTCCAGTGCTGTGTGGATATCTGTTATGCTAATGTACAAAATGAACCTGATTTAACTTCCACAAACCGGGATTGAAGCGTCTTCCTTTATAATTGTTCTGACACACGGCTGTGCTGATGATGTAAAGCTGAAGTAAAACGCTGTAATTAATTACACACTTTAATTAAACACTTTAAACATGTGAAACTTACTCTTAATCACATTTGATGATGATTGCTGATCCTAGCGAACAGAACAGACCTTTTATTCCCGGTTGCTTTGCGTATGTCTGCCTGGTCTTGTTGACATATACACGTGACTACCGGAACATGATAATGTGCGCAGCTGTCAATCAATTCGGTCGGTCTGAAAACGCTCTAATTGGTCCACCGTTTTTATGTTGTTAAATTGAAAAAAAAAAGGACTGGGTGTGTTTGTATCACCCCAATATGATGGTCTATAGACTATATATACACATATGTTAGTCCAAATAGCTTGAAAAGTGGATTTTTCACTATAGGTGCCCTTTAAAAAATACCAAACTTGCGTCCTCAAAAGATGTGATATTTCAATGCCCCACTGATCCTTAATTTTGATCCTTAATACGATCCTTAAGACATACAAAGTTTTTACTTTTGAAATCACTTTCTGAGCACTCCATGCCTTGCATGTTCACTCTCTGTGCCTTCCCCATGCAGTGACAGCACCTTTCCTGTTCATATCAGTGGATGTGCAGTGTTTACCTAGGAGGAAGTATCTGGGGAGAGAGAAGTCTGGGGTTTTCTCCTGAGACTGCTGCCCCCATGACCTTGCTTCGCATAAGTGGTAGACCAGGGGTGTCCAAACCCGGTATTGGAGGGCCGGTGTCCTGGAGATATACTAGAAACTTCCGAGCAGGTGTGTTAAAGCAAGTTGGAGCTAAACTCAGCAGGACACTGGCCCTCCAGGACCTAGTTTGGGCACAGTTGTGGTAAACTATTCTGTCTAACCTTGGGAATAATGCACAAACAGCAATTCCAGTGGCTAGCACTCTGGTCATTAAGCAGTGACCCATTTTTTTCTGCCAAATACCAAAATGGCTTTTAGGAGGACGTGTTATTCTCAAGCACATATGTCCAAAAGAAGCATTCACAGCTTTCATCCACCTATTTCAAAGTCTATTAATGCATTGAAAGATCACTCTAAATTTCCAGCAGTTGAGGAACACTGGCTTATATTATATATTGAAGCGCAGTAGTTTTTTTTTTTTCTTTGCAGAAGTAGTAATTTTTAATCAGAGTTGAGGGCTAGGGAAGAAGCTGTTGTGCTGTCTGGCAGAGCGGGCTCTTATGTTCTGAGATATTCCTGATGTCAAGAGCTGCAAGAGACTGTTGGTGGGTACGGTGGGGTCCGTTCCAATACTAGTGGCTTTGCTGGAGGCCCAGCATGAGGAAAATGTCCAGGTGTTCTCCTGTCCTGTGTTCTGTTGTAGAATCTTGCGGTCTGCAAGGTACTACCCGTACCAGATAGAGATTCAGTTCTTCAGCACACGGTTCACTTTTTGGTACCTTTGACAATAGAAACAGGAAAGAAGCATCCTAAACCTTAAAGATTAGCGGAAATGGATCATTGTTGTCCATCCCAAATCCTTTTTAATGTCCTGATTAGATTACTGAGACTCCTGGGGAGTAGTTTAGGGATCTGTGCCTTACTCAAGCAGACATCCCAAGTCTCCCGGAAGTTCCGGAAGTCTTTTACAAATGCATAGAGACTCTCGGATGCCTGCAAATAAATGATAATTTCCCAGAAATCGCGTGTCTCCCGGCCGGTCTTTAAATACGTCACACACCCCACTCCACTCGATCCCTCCCAGCTGATCAGGTACGTTGCGCGCAACTCACCCCCACCGCTCTTCAGGTACTGGCGCATGTAATGGAGGCCAGCTAGTAAGTGCTGTGCAGGTAAACCTCACTCCTCTGACCTCTGAGGTGCTCTAGCGACTAGGGGTGTCATGATTTTGATTAAAAATTTATGCTCAATTTCGATTATCGAATCAAAAAATAGAATCGTCGATGCTGCCACTCCCCCATGTCACGTCAGCTTGGCTTGCCAAGCGGGAAAAAACAGGCTTGTTGAAGTGCTTGTTAAACTGCAGAAGCAGGAGACCCGTCGACAGAACTTAAACCCTCTCCTCTTTCAATGAAGTCGCCGGTGTGGAAGCATTTTGGATTTCCAGTGAGTTATGTTGACAACATTCGTGTTGTCGACAAAAAACACAGTTTTGCAAGCTCTGCTATGTACGTATTACGTACGGTTCGTCCGATAGACAACACCGGCATCGCGATCCTCCGCCCACCCCCGTTGCAAATCCGCTCGCGAAAAGTACACACTCAGGCCCTGTTTACACTGTCTTTGTTTTCAAATGGCATTTTAGAACGACAACGATTTGACATCCACAGTGGCGTGTAGCATTTCTGAGCAGCCCTCCTTCCTCACTACCTCTGAAAATGCACATCACGTGACCACACAGACACAGACGCACACACAGCCATTCGCTCAAGACAGCAGGTCCAGGCAGTCAAGAGGACTGCTTCAATCTTTCACTCACTTGTACTTTGTCATTTTAGCGAACACCTCAGATACTGTTGGCTGGTTCCTGTTGGTTGTGCGTCTTTTTTACCGACGCCATTATAACGACACTGATCACTGCCTATTCACGAGTCCCGCAGAAAAAAGTGATTGACAGGTGGTAATATTGTGTGTATCTTGCCTTTATTCATTTACTGTATGATTTGTTTATGGGTAAAACAAAGACCATGCAGGTCAGGTAGTTTAAACGGTAGGCTACAAATAATTAATTGGTCATTAATTAATTATTCATAATCAAAAATCAAATCGAATCGTGCCTTTAGAATCGAAAATGTAATCGAATCAAGGATTTGGAGGATCGTGACACCCTTACTAGCGACAAACACTAGAGGCCATGGTCTTTAGCCTCCTTGTTAGAGCAACTGACTCCCATGTGGAAGGTTGCTGGTTCGATACCAACTCGGATCGGGTTGGGAAGCGCAGGACCGGCGGGGTTACACGCACATGCTCCCATTTAGATACGTCGCGCACCATCACCCCCCTTTTTCTTGAGGCACCCACACTCCCGCAAATCATCTCTGTCTCTCCGGGAAATGACTAATCTGCTCAAGGAAATCGCCACAGCTGTGGTATTGAGGGTAGGGGTGTCATGATTTCGATTAATAATCCGCTCGCAAAAGTACACACTCAGGCCCTGTTTACACTGTCTTTGTTTTTAAATGGCATTTTAGAACGACAACGATTTGACATCCACAGCAGCATTTCTGAACAGCCTCCTTCAACTCTACCTCTGAAAACGCACATCACGTGACCACACAGACACAGACGCACACACAGCCATGCGCTCGAGACAGCAGGTCCAGGCAGTCAGAGGATCAGTAGACTGCTTCAATCTTTCACTCACTTGCACTTAGTCATTTTAGCGAACACCTCAGATACTGTTGGCTGGTTCCTGTTGGTTGTGCGTCTTTTTTACCGACGCCATTATAACGACACAGATCACTGCCTATTCACGAGTCCCGCAGAAAAAGTGATTGACAGGTGGTTATTATGTGTGTATCTTGCCTTTATTCATTTACTGTATGATTTGTTTATGGGTAAAACAAAGACCATCCAGGTCAGGTAGTTTAAACGGTAGGCTACACATAATTAATTGGTCATTAATTAATTATTCATAATCGAAAATCTAATCGAATCGTGCCTTTAGAATCAAAAATGTAATCGAATCAAGGATTTGGAGGATCGTGACACCCTTACTAGCGACAAACGCTAGAGGCCATGGTCTTTAGCCTCCTTGTTAGAGCAACTGACTCCCATGTGGAAGGTTGCCAGTTCGATACCAACTCGGAGCGGGTTGGGAAGCGTAGGACCGGCGGGGTTTTCACGCACATGCTCTCATTTAGATACGTCGCGCACCATCACCCCCCTTTTTCTTGAGGCACCCATACTCCCGCAAATCATCTCTGTCTCTCCGGGAAAACACTAATCTGCTCAAGGAAATCGCCACAGCTGTGGTATCGAGGGTGGAATAGAGAAATATAGTACTGCTAACTCTCTCCATATTAGAGCTGGCTTTGGAAGGGGGTCCATCACAAGTTCTTTTGTCTGCTGGACCAGCCGGGACTTGAAATGACAACCTTCTTGTTGTGAGGCAACAGTGCTAACCACTGAGCCACACCACTCTTACCTTTTATAAAAATAAACAAAATGCATAGACAACTTGGGCATATACTAGCTGGTAATTTAGCAAAGAGTTATATATGTCTTTGCTTTAATGACACATTAAGACGTAAGTTGTTTTACCACATTTGGTAAAGCTTTAGGGTAATTTAATACAGGTTGCAGATAACTGCCACTCTTGGGAATATTTACATTTTGTCCTTTTCTCAGATTTGATCTGGTTAATTTAATGGGAAAGATGGATATATTGATTTCTATTTGTTTGCCTTGTGACAATAAGCAGTGGTTAACTTGCAACTTGTCTGTTTTTATCTTAGACCTCATTGTGCTGAAAAAGGAGAGGCAAGAACTGAGTGAAACGGAGGAGAAGGATCATAATCTTATTACTGGAAAATATTTGATTTGCTCACAGACAGAAAAAGCTTCCTCACGAGAAAGTGTCCAAAACGACAAACAAAAAACTTTTGCTTGTTATCAGTGTGGAAAGAGTTTTAGTAACAAAGGAAATCTTAACGTCCACTTGAAAATTCACACCGGAAAGATGGATTTTACATGCAAACACTGTGGAAAGCGTTTCATTAAAAAAGGATCCCTCCAAAACCACCTGAGAATTCACACTGGAGAGAAGCCTTACACTTGCAGCCAGTGTGGATTGAGTTTTGCCGTTAAGACGACTCTTAATATCCACATGAGAATTCACACCGGAGAGAAGCCTTACACATGCTCTGAATGCGGATTGAGTTTTACACACAAACAAACTCTTAATAAACATCTGGAAAATCACACTGGAGAAAAGCCCTACAAGTGCTATCATTGTGGAAAAGGTTTCCGTCTTCCTGTAAACCATAAAGAACACATGAAATCTCACAACGAAGAGAAGCCTTACGCCTGCCGACAGTGTGGAAAACATTTCCGTTCAAGTGGTTACCTTAAAGAACACATGAGGTCTCACACCGGAGAGAAGCCTTATACCTGCCAACAGTGTGGAAAACATTTCCGTTCAAGTGGTCACCTTACAGTCCACATGAGAATTCACACTGGAGAGAGGCCCTATACCTGCCAACTGTGTGGAAAGAGTTTCAATCGAAATGCGCACCTTACGAAACACTTCAATTTGCACTCGAGATAAAGGACTCATTAAAAGGAGAAACTCGCATGAGATTTGAGGAGTGGAGAGAATCTTTTCAGTCATTTTCAGTGTGGAAAGTATTTTACATGTCAACAAGAATTTAAAGGCAAACCTCTCGATTTACCTGTCAATCTACATTCCTACTCTCACCTATGGACATGAGCTTTGTGTCATGACCAAAATGACAAGATCTTGTATATAGTATATAGTGGCCGAAATGAATTTCCTTTGCAAGGTGCACCCTTATAGATCTAGGTCACCCAAGAGGAGCTCGGAGTAGACTGGCTGCTCCTCCACATCAATAGAAGTGAGCTGAGGTGGCTTGGGCATCTGTTTCGGATGCCTCCTGGGCACCTACCTAGGGATGTCCCACCAGGAGGAGGCCTTGGGAAAGTCCCAGGACACACTAGACCAGGGGTCACCAATCACGGTCCTGGAGGGCCGGTGTCCTTGCAGGATTTAGCTCCAACTTGCCTCAACACACCTGCCTGGATGTTTCAAGTTTACCAAGTAAGACCTTGATTAGCTTGTTCAGGTGTGTTTGATTAGGGTTGGAGCTAAAATCTCCAGGACAGCGGCCCTCCAGGAACAAGTTTGGTGACCACTGCACTAGAGGGTCTATGTCTCTCGGTTGGCCTGGGAACGCCTTAGGATCCCCCCGGAGGAGCTGGAGGAAGTGCCTGGGTAGAGGAAAGTCTGGGGTTCTCTCCTGAGACTGCTGCCCCCGTGACCCGGCCCTGGAAAAGTGGATGAAAATAAATGAATGACCGTGGACAGCATTTGCAATCTAAAAAAGTGAAAGATTCTTCAAAAACAACTACACAAACACGTTGTGAATTCTGAAGTTAGACGATTGCATGTCCATGCATGTTAAAATGTTTGGACGCAGTGATTTATGACATCATTTGACTTGATGAATATGATCTCATGAACACTAGCATGAAATTCTGCGACAAAATCATAAACACAGGAAAACATTGCTTTCAAAGCCACTCTCCCTTTCACTCACTTGCTGTCTCTTTTTCGTAGGAGCTTAATATTGGTACAAGATATGAATGTTTGCTACAAATTTAGGTAGGGTTGTATCGACTTTGGTACCAGTCTGTACCAATTATAAAAATGTCTATTTCCCGCCAACAGTTGGGCGCTGTTAAGCACATTCTTGAACACCGCTGATTGGTCATTGTGCTCAAGAGATATGACTGTTATTGGCTGTGAAGGTCATCCATTTGCCACTGCTGTTCACTAAGCGCAAACAGATACAAGGACACTGGAGCATTTTCAAAGCCACGTCATTCAGTTGATCCATTAGCACGTGGGTCTCAAACTTAATTGCTGGTGGGCCGCAACTCTGGACAGTTTTGCTCCAACTCTAATCAAACACAGCTGATCCATCTAAACAAGGTGTTTAAGACTTTAAGACACTAGTAGTCCTGAACACCTTGATTAGTTAGTTGTATTTATTTATGGTTGAAGCAAAACTGCAGAGCTGTAGCCCTCCAGGAATTGAGTTTGACCCATGAATTAGTAGATCATTCATACACAGATCAGCTGATTAAAGTGGCAAATCTCTATCACAACATAATTCTTGGTGCCTAAGTTTATACTCTTGACAACCCTACATTCAAGTTCTGTTTTAACACTGGTAAATGCCTGGTCACCCTGTGTTTGTGAATGTTTGCTACATCTTAGCTGATCAAGGGTGATAAAGGGTTTTAAAACGCTTTCTAGAGGGCCACAGCCTTGCAGTTTCATTCCAACCCAACTTCAACATACCTTCCTGTAGGTTTCTAACAAGGCTGAAGGACTCAATTAGTTTGATCAGGTGTGCTTCATTAGCATTGGAACTAAACTGTGCAGAAATGCGGCCCTCCAGGAACTGAGTTTGACACCTGAAGTCTGGGTCTTGAGTGATAAGGTGTAAACAAGGGTTGTCCAAACTCGGTCCTGGATGGCCGGTGTCCTGGAGAGTTTAGCTCCAACCCCAATCAAACACATCTGAACCAGCTAATCAAGCTCTTACTAGGTATACTAGAAAGTTCCTGGTGGGTATGTTGAAGCGAGTTGGAGCTAAACTCAGTAGGAGACCGGCCCGGCCCTCAAGGACTGAGTTTGAATTCAAATTTACTACTCCACTGTTAGAAAAGTGTGTTCTATACAGTATGAATTGTACTTACATCCTCCATTTTGTCATGGTCACATGACCTACTTTGCGTAAGATCGCTCCTATATATGAATTCTCTCACAGGACATCATGGGATAGCGTGTTTTGCATGGGATGCGCACTTCGGAATCTCGCCGGAAATAGGTCATCCGGGTACTTCTCACAAACTGTTTTACGAATTCTATGAATTCTGACAGACTACTTGGCTCGCCTACTGTTTTTAGCGTACTATTTAGGATGGAAGTATGCGATTTCAGACACAGCCTGATTGACAGGTCTATTTGTTCAACTGCACACACGTCACAAATTCAAACCGACATTTCTCAAACTGTTTTGACATGTTTATAAAGAATTGTGAACTCTTGAGCTGCTTGGCTTGTAAATTCCTCCCGCACAGCGTTCAATGTTTTCCATGCAACTTCTATTGGTAAAGAAATGCACACAAGGTTGCTTGACAGCAAATATTGCACTTCGTACACTTAGTTTGGGGATTGGAACAACTGCAAATGCTTTCAAATTACCAGATTTTCCAATGTGTGTAAAACCATTACATTCGGCCTGTTTGTGTTTGGACCCAATGAGGTCCAAATACTGAATGAATAAAATCACTGTCAAGATGATTTGCATTACCCGGATGATCCTGTGTTATTAGTTTACCACTTGCTGTCAAAGAATAGCATGTTCTGGAATGTTGTGATCATTCAGAATCAAGATAAACAATCAGAATCAAGAGAGCCATGTAAGTAATATAGTTATTTGCATAAACACGAAGCCTTTTAACATCATGATTTAATTTTCAGATCTCATCTGTAACTAAAAAGACATATGTAAATATATTTGAAAAGAACACAAGTCAAACATCAAGCCTTATACAAACCTGCTTGGGTTGCCTGCTAAAGATAGCCAAGGTTGGGAGTGGTCAGTAACTCAATGGGAGACCACATGGGAACTGCTGGAAGTTACTAGCGAAGTCGGAAGGTGATGCTCACCCTGTGGTCTGTGTGGGTCCTTGCACCTCAATACAGTGATGGGGACACTATACTGACAATGAGTACCATTCTTCAGATGAATAATTAATACATGGCCCTAACTCTATTTACACATGAGAAAACCCCAGGAGTAATAACAAATATCCAAGGTATCTTTGGAGACCCTAAAACATGTTAAGGCCTAATCCCAATTCTACCACTTATCCCTTTTCCTTGCTCTCCTACCCCTTATTTACCCCGGGAAGGTGTAGGGGTGTCCTAATTCTCTTTAGCTTGAAGGCATAGGGCTAAAGGGAAGGGCTAGATAGCCCTTGAAACAAAAGATTTTCCAGGTCCACACTAGAAACCTAGGGGTATGGAAATTCGCAGAATACCGCTGCACAAACCAGTCAGGTGCACAAATTTGTATTTTTTGGGGATTTGGCTTTAGGGTACGTCTTATCCTTTCCATGGTTATCTTGAACAAATAATTGTACTAATCTCTTCACAGTCTCTTGTCTAGACTGGTGCTAACAATTGCTGATTTTCAGCTCATCGTAGGCATGGGATTAGAGATCTGCGCGGGACTAAATTTTGAATCCCGCTCCCGCCTGCACCCGCCAGGTTTTAGCCCGAACCCGACCGCTCCCGCTTATATTAACAATTTGTTGTCCCGCTGCCCGACCTGCCCCGTTTTCTGCCCGCCGCGACCGATCCCGCTAAAGAGCGGGGGAGAACAAAACCGAAAATCACCCAGCTATACAGTCCAGACAGCCAAGCTGTCTGTATAAACACACACACACAGCACCAAGCACACACACACACACACACACACAGACTAAGCTCTCTCTCTCTTTCTCTCTCGCGCGCGCTAACACACACACAAGCACCAAGCAGACACACAGGTGTTTGCTGTTATATCAACTCAAAGGCCTTGTAATACCATGTATTAAGTACCAATGTAATACCAAAAGGTTTTATATAAAGGTATATAAATACTGCGTCGCGCCAGCTCCGGGCCGCAGCGCACATTACTCTCGGGCTGATTCCGGCGCAGATGCGGCAGCGTCGGCTCGCTTACGGCCGCTGCATCTGGCCTGATTGATTCGGGCCGGAATCGGGCAGTGAGTCCACAAGCATCCGGAGTCCGGCAGCCGGAGCCGGGCCGAATGGTAAGTCTCCGGCAGGCGAGAATCTAGTCGGAACTGGCCCGAGTGTATTTTGCTATCTGGGAAATCTCTCTCTCTCTCTCTTTCTCTCTCTCTCTCATTCGCACAAGCACCAAGCACACACACACAGGCAAAGTTCTCTCTCTCTCTCTCTCATTCGCATAGCAATATCCGCGATATTGCTAGACAGCTCGCTCCCGTCCCAAATTAAACCTGTTACCGACCGCACCCGCGATTTATTCGGAAATCTATTCCCGCGCCGCAGAAATCCGGAAAAATGTTTTGTCGATGTGATCTCGAGGCCTTGTCAGGGGCCATCAGTTTCACCAACTCCTCCTCAAGCTACGCCTGGATGATGGCCGCTACTAGATCAAGCCCGTGATCAGTTAATGCGCCGCTTATTTCATTCACATGAATCTTGCCGCAGGAAGTCTTATCGAGTCTTTGTACACTTAATGCTTCACTCGTGTTTGGTGTAAAAGAGTGTCCCAAGTTTGTCACCAATAGATTTTCCATTTTGGTGTCAAATTTTTTTTTGTGAAAAATGACTTGGGGCAATATTTATTTTTGATCATCTGAGGTCTTATTTTACAGATTTTAAGACCCACCAAGGACCGGATACATTTTTATCATGTTCTGATCCGTGGAATTTAGTTGCTTAACATTTTTGCCTGACTCTGTGGTCTTGGGATCAATGGCACAATGTGCTGAGGGTGGTTTTGGCACATCTGGTAAAGATTTAGCTTGATTTTAAACATGCTGCAGATTGGAAAATCTGGACTTTTCCCAATTCTGGGAACCTATGGTCTATGCGTAACTTATGATGATTTTGTAATGTGTGCGAAATAAAGCAAAGGTTTGACCCTTATTAAGAATAAGTACTAAGATTACAGCAGTTTCCGAAACATTGTGGGCATTTTGGAAATTTTTGGCTTTGATTCTTTGGGTGTCCAATTGTTTTTGTCTGTTGCTTTTTGACATTAACCTGGTTTTAACTTGCAACTTGTCTCTTTTTTTCTTAGGTCCGACTGTCCTGAATAAGGAGAGGCAAGAACTTTGTGAAACG